TGAACACGCCATCTTCAAGCCCGAGCCCGACTACGTTAAACTCGAGTTACATCAATAGTAGCAGTTGCAGCACTGAGGATGAAATGGAAAGCTATTGCAGTAATCTCATGAAGTTTGATATTCCCGATTTCTTGGACGTTAATGGTTTTATTATATAATTCCAAGAAAGAACATAAAACCTGAGTGGGATAGAGTTATTTTTATTATTCGTTGTAATTTTAAGACTCGTTTTTTCTTTCTTTTCAATTTGTTTACATGTAAAATACTGTTTTCTCTTTGATTGTGTTACTTAGAGCATGAATATTGGTTGAAATGTTGAGTATCTTAGACAAATCTTAGGATTAAAGTTGATTAAATATAATTAAACCAACATTTTAAAGCTAAGATTTGTATCTAAGTTAAGATGTTTTTCTTAACTTAAGATGTTGCAAGGTGTCACATTGTGATTTGTTAAAAAAACAAACAAAAGAAAGACACATCCAGTTATGGAACGACTATTTCGCAGAAAATCTAACTTTCCCTCCTAATCTATTTAGACGCCGATTTGGTCGAGCATATATAGACAAAATATTCCATAAATTAAGTTTAAAACATTTGTGCTGTATGTTATTTATGTTATAAATTGTATCTCATGTATGTTTTAATTTTTTTTAATTTGCAACAATTGTTAAGTTTTTTATAATTATAAATTTTATTTTTATATTAATATTTTTTTTCTAACCATATGTTAAGAACCTACCATTAATCATAGAAAAATCTAAACACAAAAAAAACTATTTCTTAACTATCACTTTTACAAATATATTACTTAAATATTATTAAGATGTATTTCTAAAATACTACCAATAATCATGCTCTTATTTCTCTAGAGTTTATTATATAGCTAATACCATAGTTTTTTAAATTATGGTGTTTCCATTATTGATATCCACTTTACATTTATTTATTAATATTTGGCCGGCTTTACTTCAACATATGCATAGTCTCCTGTCAATATTATTAAATTTGACTCAAATGATATGAGTTGCTGAAATTGATATGTATAATTTGATATGAGGTGTAGAAATTTCCTGATATAGACATAAAATTGTATTTTAATTATTACATCATTGACTTTTGTCATGTTTCCCAAAAGGTATTAATGGAAACGTATGATCCTAACCAATAAAGTCCAAATGATTCACCATAAAATTTGTATAGTTTATTCATGATCACTAAGGTCCCCCACATGCATTTTCCAGCAAGATCGAAAGTAACTTTTAAAAAATGAACTAATAACTTTATTAGTATTTCCTTTTATTCTCAACGACATACAATACAACAACTAGGCATGAACAAAATAACCGAACCACGAGAACCGAACCAGAACCGAAGCAAAAAGAACCGAACCGGAACTGAACCGGAACCGAACCAAAATTTTAAAATATTCAAATGGATCCTAAATTTCAGAACTGAAAGAACCGGAACCGGAACCGAACCGAACCGAAATATTTCGGGTACCTGAAATATGAGTTTATATCTAAAAATATTAGTTATTTTTAGATCGAATAACCAAAAATACCTGAAATACCAACAATATTTGGAAAATATATTAAAAAATACTTACAATATCCAAAAATACTCGATAATATTCGAAAATATCCAAAAATATCCAAAATACCTAAAAATATCTGAAAGAAAATATCTGAATGGATCCTAAACTTCAGAACCGAAAGAACCGGAACCGGAACCGAACCGAAATTGATTGGTTCCTATATAGATCCTAAACTCTAGAACCGAAAGAACGGAACCGAACCGGAACGGAACCAGAACCGAACGGGTACCCGAATGCTCAGGTCTGGACTACAAGAGTACCAAAGGCTGCTATCATCATTGCTACATATAAATGTAATTTCATCCATGTTTTAGAATTCTTTTAATAAGACCGATAATCATATATGTTTCATGATAATTTTGGATTTTTCATTCATAGAATCTAATAACCAATAATTAGTTAGTTAGATATTCCTTTCTAAACACAAACATATAGAAACGAAAGACACACTTTGTATAGCTAAGATTAATTTAAATTATACTATACAAAGAGAAGACGACACATAACAAAAAAAGCCTCCTTAATATTGAAACCACAAAGCGAAGAAGCGATGATCGGGACCGGGGAGAGTTGCCGGCGCGTGAGGGACACGTGTTCTTCATCTTTACGTGCAGAAATAAAGGAGCACTTTTGTTTCATGGGCGTGGCCACGTAGTGTCGATGACGTGGCGTGTAATTAAGGCAAAAAGAAAAAAAAGAGCCTCCTTATTATTGAAATCACGGCGTAGGTTTTTTTGATGGCTTTACACGTGTAGTTATACACACCCATTTAAGATTAGAGAACACGTGGAACTCAATAATAGATTAGTGGGCCCGATTGCGTGTTGACCGACGATTAATTTGGATGAGCTGTTATTTTTTGACTGCTGGATTGGACATAAACATGACAGACTTTTTTATTTTTTTTTAAAACAAAACTAAAAATACTGTGTGATCGAATAAATGCTGTGATTTTGACATACGATTTTTTTCTTCCTTATATGAATTTTTATTTTCTGTGCACCTTTCAAAAGTTATAGATGCCAACTATTTATTGCTGTGTAATAGACATGACTTTTTTTTGGCGGTTCTTCTTCTAGAGACCCTAATGATTTTCTCTACCACTTTATAAGGCAAAGTCTTATGTTGTTTTTTGTGTGTGTAAAATGAACATATTTAAACCAAAAAGTTAGTATCTGTTATAGATATATCAAATGTTTTACCAATGGATCATTAAAAGGAAGAAGATAAACATCGTGTTTAGATGTATGTATGAAACAAGTATAGCTTTTTTGAGTTCAAATTGCTTAGAGATGGATATCATGGATTCAAATTTATTAAAAGAGAATTTTCGGTAGCTAATTAAAACACCGAAGTAAAAAACAAGAATTAACTAAACCACGCTCAAACACGAAAATACATTCAGCCAAAATTAATCTAATGTATAATGTGTTTTCTGAATTAGTTATTTGCCACACTTCAAAATAACATCATAGCCTCCCTCCCACTTCTTGTTTTCTTAGTGTTTCAATTATTTTTCTTCTTATTCTGTCGTAAAAAGTTTCAAAATTGTGAGTTGGAAGAAACAATATGTGCAATCTATTGACTTCAAAACAAAGAATCAGATAAAGTCTACAAAAGGGTAAAAAGATTTTGGGCGGTTGCGTAATATGAATATATCGGACCAAAGCAAAAAGGCAAAATTTGTTTTACATGCTCTCGTTAGTTTTCGTGGGCTTGTGTGTGTCTCCATGTCCTTGACAAACAACAAAACGTGTTTTTCTCGTATATATTGCCACTTGATCACAAGAAAACAAAACTTGTGGTCAAAATTTGGAGGTTCATAGAGTTAACCTACTTTAGTTCCCTCCTAAATTCACTCTCTCGTTTTCCTAGCTACTAGGTTTTCTTGGTAATTCCCCCCACCACAAAAGAAAACCTAAGAAAATGGCTAAACTACACTGGATTCTAAAGAATCATGTTTGGGTTATCACCATCTCTGAGCTAAATGGTTAAGAGCAACCACAACGATTAGTTTCTAAGTAAGGTTTCTATGTATTTTTTATTAATAAATTTTGATAGTTTTGTAGTTTTAGAGATTTTGTAGAGTTTTTGAAAATTTTTTGTTTCATTGGTGGAATCCTTAAGTGGGTTTCTAAAAAATAAAATAATTTTTTTAAAAAATTTTTGTTAATATTTTTATTTGAACAAACATGATTATTATTAGGAATTATAAAATTTTAAACATACATGATATAAAAAGAAGAAGAAAAAAACATATTAAAAAAGCAAAAAAACAATAACGATTACATTTTAAGATTGATTCTAGTAATAATGTTGCCATACATGTTCAAATAAATCAGCTTTCAATTCTTCATGTTTAATCCGATGACGAACTCGGGCTCTAGTGGCCATCATATTACCGAGATACTTTGTATCTCCTTCAAAGCATTGGTTCTGGTAATAATGTTGCCATACGTGATCTTTCTGTTTTATCTCCCAGATACTTTGTATCTCCTTCAAAGCATTGGTTTCTTCACCTTCAACCGGACTTAGCTTGGCTTTGCCTTTGGCTTTGGCTGCGGCTTTGGCAGCCTTAACACCAATGGGACGAGCTTCCTTATCTTCAACGCCAACAGAGTCAGAGTCAGCTTCACATTTTCTTCTCTTTGCTTTCCCATGAGTAGACTGAGCAATCCACTTTTGATCATATCTAAGCTCCCTCCACGCATGCTCACAAGTAAACTTGCAGCCATAATCTTTCGAGAAGATCTGATGTGCCATAGACACCACATCATCATCATTCTGACCACTTGTTTGTTGTTTGCTTGCGGCCAAGTAGCTCCCTACAAACTTGTTCACGGCGTCATTCACTTATGACCACCTCTGTTTACAACATATGTGGCCTCTCTTTTCCACACCTTTGAGCTTGGGACTTGAGTTGTAGTACGCTGCTATACGTTCCCAGAACGCTGCCCCCTTTTGCTCATTGCCCACCACCGGATCCTTGGAAGTGTTCAGCCACCCACTTATGAGAACAACATCTTCAGTTGATGACCAATTCCTCCTTGGTTTCTTGGCTTTCTTCCCTTTCTTCCCAGCAATTGGTGCTTCATCTTCACTTGGATCATCATCAGACCACTCAGTGCTAAACACATGGACATTTGTTGATCCAAGTTCCAAGCATTCATATGGATTTGGTGGGAGAATGTGACTGTCATCTTGACTGTTCAACAGGTTTATAAAGCTTGAAGTATGATGATATGGATTCATTGAATCCATATCTTTGTTTGTGGTTGTGTGTTTTAAAAATTAAAGGTTATGGTGCTGTGTTTTAAAGGCAAATTATGGCTTTGTTAGACACCTCACAATCAATGCCACACTAAATACTAACTTAATTTAACCTACCAAGCAATCATCACAGTTTTACAGTTTTAAATGCTATAAGAACTAGCATTTGACGTTTACCTACAAAAGCATTTGACGTTTATATAACTATGACACTTCTATTTATATCAACCAAGAAGCATTTATCACAATGAATAACAGTAAAGCTTTGAAAGTAAAGGATAAGACATTTAATTACCAAGAGAATTGGTGCCTGAGGAAAATAACGAGAAATGAGATCACCAATGTTTTTAGCCACACCACAGAGCTCAACATCATCAAACCTCTCGTTTGCATGAAAGTATCCAAGAATACTTAAACCTTGAGCCACATAATGCTCCTCTATCTACCACAAGAAAACATATACCTGAATCCGTAAGTTTTTGTTTAAAGGATATAGGTACAAACAATGCTACAGAACAAACACATAAAGATCTGAAATTTCTATGTTAATATAGAAACAACAATAAGACTTCACTGAGAATCAAGCAAACATATAGAAAACTAAGAACAAGCTAATAACAACATATGCAGCTCAAGCTTAGTACACGAACTAAAAATTTCCAGAATTCGTAATTCAATATACATACCAATGCAATCAGATCATAATCTCTTTCAAAATTCAATTTCAAAGCTCATAAAATCAAATTGAAGAAGAAGAGATACGAACCATGATGAGGGTTTCGATTTGGTTCGAAGAATCGATTTGGGGAACAAACTCCAGCTCGATCATCATCCCGTGGTTGAATCTGTCATGATTTCATGAACAAATCACTAGATCGACGTTTGGGAAGCAATTGACTTTGGAGTCTCTGTCGGCGAACACGAAGAAATGAGAGATAAGAAGAAAAAAATTAAAACGCGTGTGTTTTTTTTTTTTTTTTGGTTTAGTCAAAAAGTTTACCCAATAAACTGAAGCCACGTATGAGTTTCTATTGGATCGCAAAAATCCTAATTTTAGGAACGTTCCTAAATAGATTGTTCTGTTTTTCTTTCATCTGAGCCCATTTTATCTTAGAAACCCAACATAGAAACCCACTAAAAACCCTTGCTGGACTTGGTCTAACAATTAATTTGAACTTTTTGGTCAATGTAGATCATACGTACCACCCAATTTTAATCATATCAAGATCTAAGTCGGGTTTGAAAATTATGAGATATTTTATTACATATCCGCTAGTCCAAAATTTCCCAAAAGCTAGTTATTAAGTGCGAATTATTGTCGCCAAAAAAATGGACTACTGGACTTGGACACAGGCCCGGCCCAGAGGACAAGCCTCTGAAGCAACTGATTCGGGCCACAAAGTTTTGAGGGCCTTTTCAAAATTTTTTTTTGTTTATATATAGATATAATCTGAATTGTTCTCTAAGGCCTTCTAAAGAAATATTGTGGGCCTTTCCTATTCAACTAGAGACATAAAAGCTCAAGTAAAAAAAAAACCTGAAATCTAGAGTAAAAAAAAAAAACGACGGTAGAGTTTCTTGTTTCTTCTTTGACAGGATACCTTCTTACTGCTTCTTACTGTTACTGCTGCATATATGTGAGTTTTTCTTACAAGTGAAAATCATAGGGTTTGAGGTTAATTGTTAGTTTTGCTTTCAAATTTGTTGTTTTTTCCTTTCGTTTTTGTCAAATTAGTAAAATAGAGATGCAAATCTAATGATTTGTCAAATTCCAATTTTAAATGGATCGATTATTATTCTTTAGCTTTGTTAAGCTATGAGACAAACACCGAAACACTTCCAACAAATTTCAAATCCGTTTGTATTAAAAAATTGTCAAAGTTCAAAGTCTTATATAGTCTATTCGCATTACCTTAGTCACAGGATTCAAAATGAGTTGATTGGAATGCTTGCTATGGAAATCAAAGTTATGATCATCAAGAAGATTCATGAGTCAAAGTATTTCTCTATTATTTTAGATTGTACTCCGGATATTAGTCACAAAGAACAAATGACTTTGGTTATCCGATGTGTGGATGTCTCTACAATGTCAACTAAGATTGAAGAGTTCTTTTTGACATTTTTGATTGTCAAGGATAAATCTGGAGAAGGACTGTTTTCTTCTCTACAAGATGCATTACTTGAACTAGAGTTAGACATTGATGATGTGAGAGGGCAAGGATATGATAATGGAGCTAATATGAAAGGAAAGAATAAAGGAGTTCAAAAGAGGTTGCTAGAAGTTAATCCAAGAGCCTTCTTCACGCCATGTGGGTGTCACAGTCTTAATCTTGTGCTATGTGATATAGCATCTTCTTCTCCAAAAGCTGTGTCTTTCTTTGGAATTGTTCAAAGAATATATTGCTTGTTTGCCTCTTCAACAAATAGGTGGGATATATTGACAGAGGTGGTTGGAGGACTAACCCTTAAAGCTTTATCTCAGACACGTTGGGAAAGTCATGTTGAAAGTGTCAAAGCGATACGGTTTCAAGCCCCGGAAGTAAGAGAAGCTTTACTTACCTTGGCTGAAAGTACTGACGACCCGGGAACAAGAAGCGATGCTGAATCTCTTGCTCTAAGTGAAACACATGGGATTGGCGGTTTTGAGTTCTTATTTGGTATGGTTATATGGTATGACCTTCTCTCTGTTGTTAATACAGTAAGCAAGAGTCTACAATCAGAAAATATTGATATTGATGCTGCGATTCACCAATTGAAAGGACTTGTGTCATATTTTAAGAAATATCGAGAGACAGGTTTTGAGGAAGCAAAGTCTAAAGCTAGACAAATTGCAGCTGAAATGGAGATTGAAGCTACATTTCCTGTGAACACAAAGCGTATCATTAGAAGAAAGAAGCACTATGATGAGGACAGAGAAGTAGTTAGTGCAAACGTAGTCTTGTCACCGGAGGAGAGATTCAGAATTGACTACTTCAACACACTCATTGATCAAGCTCTAGTTTCTCTTGAGTCAAGGTTTGAACAATTCCAAAGGTATGAACAGACTTTTGGATTTCTATTTGACTTAAAGAAACTAAAGTTATCAACTGATGATATTTTGAGGAAATCATGTGTGAACCTAGAGGCTGCTTTAAAGAATGGTATGGATTATGACATAGTTGGTGATGATTTGTTTCTTGAACTAAAAGTTCTCCGGGAAGTAATACCAAAGGAAGTTCAAAAACCTATTGAAGTGCTTGATTTTTTGAAGAGAATGCAAGGTTGTTATCCAAACACAGAAATTGCTTATCGCATCTTGTTGACCATTCCGGTATCGGTTGCTACGGCGGAAAGAAGTTTCTCGAAGTTGAAGTTGATAAAAAATTATTTGCGGTCTACCATGTCACAAGAGAGATTGAATGGGTTGGCTTTGCTTTCAATTGAGACATCTATGGTTGAAAAACTCGACTACGTGAGTTTGATGAATGATTTCGCAAACAAAAACGGAAGTAGAGCCAAATTTCGCGAATAAGAATGTAACTCTTCTTTTGTGGTTTTTTTGAACTTTTTTGGAATTTGTAAACGGTTTAGTATGTTATGAAAAGGGCATGTTTATTAAGATGTGCGTAGGGCACTTAAAAACGTCGGGCCGGCACTGCTTGGACAGTTAATTATTGTCATCCGTACGGTCAGAAGCTTCTATAACACATGTGGTTGTTACAATGGTCAACGGCTTCGTATTCCATACGTCATTTATACATCAAAATGGATTAATGTCCACTTTTTCTCACTAAAAGGAAAAAATGTGAAACATAATAATGAAAAATGGCATTACAGAAATTAATAGCCAGTGGAGAGACTAATATATAAAATAAATTGGAAGACGAAATATAATTGACATCAAACAATTTTAGAGTTAATGATTTCTAATTACAAAGTTAATTTAGTCTTTACCTAAGCTAACTAAATTGAATTTAAGTTGGTAAATATTATTAGTAGTTTGTTAAACAGAAGATTATTAATTTATTTAAAAAATCTATCAAGAAGTGCAAAAAAATGCGAACACGGCTACTTTTTGTGAACTGGATTGAGTATTACATAAAAATGCTTGTCGAGATTTAACTTGATTTTGTTAAAGTCAAACACAAAGAAGCAGTATCCAATCATTCATGGTTGACGTATATACTAATAATATTAATTGGAAAGTGGAAATAGTTTCCTTATAAGAAAAGCAATACAAACAAAAACTATATATCAAAACCTTTATTAAAGAAAACAAGAACTTAGTTTTTTTTTCTGAAGTATAATTTATAGACCAATTTAGTCAGCCGTCCAAAAGAAAAAAAATATATCAGATGATGTCAATTTTCAAAAGTTAAGATAAGAGGCCCTAAAGTGGATATGCGTCTTTTGCAGGCATATTGTGAGCATTCTAATGGTTTCATACTTGGTGTAATCAATGTGATTTGAGTTTGATAAAAAGTATTTGCATTAGAAAATATTATTATTATTATTATTATTTTTTTTCATCATTAGAAAATAGTATTATATCCGAACCAACTAATGGTAGCTAGTATAGTGGTGAATTAATACTGTGGATTTTAGACCAAGTTTCAACTTCCGCTAGACATATCATTTTAGTTTTCATGCGGGATTTGACATGTTGATCGTATATTCAAAAGATAAAATGAGTTTAATTTGGGATTCTCTACTTATCAAAACGAAAAAAAACTAGCTAGTAGCTAGATATTATTCTTACGACATTGGTCTGCAATGAACGAAATAAAATGGGAGAATAGATACAAATCATGTTGTATTGGGTTAGATTATGCTACTCTTTTACAACAAGGGGATTCTAAATCCAAAGCAGCTATATCTTAATTTTTGGAGTCTACAAGACTGCAGTTACTATGTAAATTAATTATTAAAAGATAGCGAGTATCGAAAGATTAAAGAAAAAGCTGAGGATGATGCAAATTTGCAAAACAGAGGGAATCTATGTGTATATTGGATCTAAACCCCATTAATTAATTTGGATATAACTATTCCACGTTTATGCCTAATTATTTGTGTCGATACTATGATTCATAGTTTGCAGCTTTAACCTTTGTATTTTAATCAACTATCACATATTAATGAATGCGTATTTACCAAAAATTTGAGCGTGGTACATACAGAACCGTTGTCTATCATGAAAGTAATGCTTGTTAAACTGTTTATCATGAATTGTTGTGGTGCTGGTAAAATTATTTATTGTGAAAGTGTGTTTGGAACCATTCGTTTTGAAACACTGTTGAAAAAGAGCTTCGCTATTTGTCTACTTGAATTCGTTTATTTCAGCCTTGGATTCTTCTTGTAAGGTTGGTGGTGGTCTTTTGTATGTTTCTCTGTTGGCAACCAAGTGTTCTTGTGATGGCCTTTTTAAAAAAATGGGCCTGTAGAAAAAGAGCTTAGCTAGTAGAAAAATTTACATTTGAGAAGAAGATTCCTCCGACCAAAAAGTCATTGTATATGTTTATCTTGTTATAGAGTAATTGACAATAGTGGAAACTCACACAAAGTTGGTAATTGATGTCAAGTACACGGACAGAATCCAAGTACAAGTGCCATGGCCATCGACTTTTATTTATTTATTTTAAAATGCTTTCGATGAAAAGCTTAAACTTTGCTGCCATGCCAACAAAGTAGGACAACAAAAGTTAAAACGCCAAACAATTTGGAGCCCAAAAATACAACTTCGTAAAGTTTTAATGGTATTAAATCCAATAAGAGTACTATTCTTCAACTCAAAACATGAAAAGCCCATCAAAAGCCATTACAAATAGAAGTACAAAACTTATGATATTAAATCCAACAGAAGTACTACTATTCAACGCAAAACTTAAAAATGGTCTCTTTAGAGTTTCAAAAATTCTAGAAAAGAAAATCATCGAAACTTTGACGAGATGATACTTAAAGATAGCAACTATAAGTGAAGTGATATGTATACAGTTTCTATTTTCCTATATGACAAATGTGTAAATATGAGGATGTTTAGAAAATCTGACAAATGATTTAGTATGCCTTATCAAAATTAATTATTACTTACTAATAGTATAAAGGTAAAACGAAACTAAATTTGGGTGAAAAAATCTTAAACGACAACTAAAACGAAACGGAAAGAGTAGCAAATTAGGGATGTATTAAAAAAAAAAACAAAAGAAAAAAAAGACCAGAGGGGGAGGTAACTGAAAAACTGAAGATCCTCTCGATATTTGCGATCTTTTACGTTACCAAAACAAGACTCTCGTTCTCCACGTAATTACAACTTTGCCACTTCCTTCTCTCTGCAAATAAAAGACTTCCCTTTTTGCCTTTCTCTCTCTATAAACTTCTCATTCTCTCTATCACTAGAACGCCGTTCTTCTTCTCTGGGTTCAGATCACTAGCTCCGAGAGATTCCACCGGAATTTCTCACCCTAATTCACACAATTTTCGAGTCTTTCGATAATGTCGGAGAACGAAATTGTCCCGGACGAGTTTCGTTGCAACCGCTCCGATGGTAAGCAATGGCGGTGCAAGAGACGAGCTTTAGAGGGCAAAAAGATGTGCGAGGCTCATCACTCGCAGCAATCTCTAAAGAGAAGTAAGAAGAAAGTTCCAGAGTCTTCGAAGCTTGTCAGATCAAGAAGAGGAGGAGATGAAGCGACGTCTTCAGCGATCGAGCCAAACGAAAGCAGTATTAGGGCTAAAAGATTGGGGAAATCGAAGAGGAAGCGAGTGATGGGTGAAGCAGAGGCTATGGATGAAGCAGTGAAGAAGATGAAGTTGAAGAGAGGAGATTTGCAGTTGGATTTGATAAGGATGGTGTTGAAGAGAGAAGTTGAGAAGAGGACGAGATTACCAGATACGAAGAAGAAGAAGAAGAAGGAGAATAATAATGGAGGGTTTGGTGAATTTGTTGGAGAAGAGTTAACAAGGGTTCTTCCTAATGGTATTATGGCAATTTCACCACCTTCTCCGACTACAAGTAATGTGTCTTCTCCTTGTGATGTTAAAGTTGGGGAAGAGCCAATTTCGATGACTAAAAGAAGATTTAGGTCGAAGAACATTGAACCTCTGCCTGTTGGGAAAATGCAGGTAACTGAAAGGTTGAATTTTAACACTTTGTGTAGTTTCTTTATTTACTCTTTTTGTGTGATTGTTGTCAAGGTGGTTCCTTTCAAGGGGAATTTGGTTAATGGAAGGAAAGAGAAGAGGAAGAGGTGTCATTGGTGTGGAACCAGAGGATTTGGGGATTTGATTAGTTGTTTGAGTTGTGAAAGAGAGTTCTTTTGCATAGATTGTATCGAGAAAAGGTATCGTCGGTTATGTTTGCTTTTACTTATGTTGTTTGCATCTCTGGATTTTTTTGCTGATGGATAGTCTCTTTAGAATTTAAGCATCTGTATCTAGTTGACTGATTGCATGAAGAGGATAGTTATAATAAGATTCAATAGTTTTGTAGACCTAAGACATCTTGAGGCTTATTCATTCACCTATATAATTGCAATATTTCTTCTGTTTTATGTGCATTCAGACTTCTTCGATAATAAGTGGCGTAAATGTTAGGATGTAACATGAGATACTCTTTCCTGCAGTTTTCTGCTTCAATAACTTCACTTGAGATTGGTTCTGGAATTTCTTTGTTTCTAATTTTGTTATTAAGCTGTCTGGTTTTGATCTACTAATTGGTTAGAAGCAGTCATCAAACTGATTTTTGGCTTGGAATAAATTAGGAACAAGGGATCGAAAGAAGAAGTTGAGAAAAAATGTCCTGTATGCCGTGGATCATGTAGGTGCAAAGTTTGCTCAGTCACTAATTCTGGAGTCACTGAATGTAAGGTCTGACTATCTGATAATTCTTTGGCTTTAAAATTTGACATGTCTTTTCCTCTTCAGATATGTTGTAACATGAACTGGTTTACTTCTATACTATGTTTCAGGATTCTCAGAGTGTCAGGAGTGATATTGACAGGGTCTTGCATCTACATTATGCGGTGTGCATGCTACTTCCAGTACTAAAAGAAATCAATGCAGACCACAAAGTGGAGGTGAAAATTGACGCAGAAAAGAAAGGTGTTTAATAGTTTGATAAATTTTCTTTACTGATCTTTATATGATAAGATGCTTCCGTTCTGCTAAGTTAAAATCACTCATATCTTTTGATTCTTTTTCACATTTGTGATAGAGGGAAATCCAGCTAAACCTCAACTCCAAAGCTCTGATTTAACTTCTGATGATCGACAGCTCTGGTTCCCACTCTGCTACCTTATTCTCTTCTACTGTTAACTTATGTAAATCTGCTTTTGAGTTTTTCTCTGACAAATTCTTTGAATATTTGTTTGAGTAGCAATGGTCGTGGCTCTGGCATTGTGGATTTGCAAAGAAGGTGCACACGCAGTTCCTCTGTTCTCAGGCTAAGTTCTGACCAAGATCAGAGTCAAGAGAGCTTATCTAGAAAGGCTGGATCGATTAAATGCTCAAATGGTTTAAAATCTCTAACAGTGTGTA